ACTTATTCTCTACTTGTATTTACAGGGTCAAAAAAAAACTAGATCGTCAAGATACAACATGGTAAGTTACAAACTTTTGTTCCACTGGAAAATCTGATGAACCTCTGCATAGATACTACAATACATACATCTATGATCACAACAACATTTGTGTCACCTGGTTGTTGCGATTCCGAAAACTCTGTTGTGCCACACCGAATGAAGTATCATATGAAAAACGTCGAACCTCACGGGTTTAGGGTGCCATAGGAAGTGTTGTTGGACGAGCTTAACCCTTCGTTGCATCTCCCGGTATCTCTTGTCCGGGATTGACGTGAGTATGCTCTTAAGCTCTGGAATGTTCTTCTCCGGGATGAAAACCGAGAAAGATTCCCAGTCTAACGTCTCAAAAAACGGGGGCACGAAATTGTCTGATATGATCACTGGTACACATTCGTAGAAGATCGCCTCCACCACGCGCGGGCTGTTCACTTCGTACCTGTGGATAAACCCAATAAATCATAACAAAAGTACGGAGAGGTTCTACTACCACTAGACACACCCTGGTGCTCCGTTCAAAAAAAATAATGGATCCTACCGCCCCCATGCCCCCTAACACCCTCAGTAAACCATCCACCTCGGCCCGACCTGAACCCACCCTCCAACCCCCGTCAATTGGACCCCCAAGTTTCGTTTTTGGAGTCAAATTTGCGAACGGGGCACCGTAGGTACCCCAAGATCTCGGTGGCGCTGCAGTGCAGTGTCAATGGAACCGCGCCCATAAAAATAAGGAGGCCACAAGGGTTCTTTTGACATTAGATCACAATGTCATAATATGACACCAACCCATTTGAGGCGTTATGTTCACCTCCGAAGTGATTCTTAACCCCTATCCCTCCTCCCTTAGGGTCACAATCCACTATCAGAATTTGATAGGCGGATGGCAAGGAACGGGCTAAGGGTGGATTTGAGGGGGGATTAGGGGGTAAGAACGATTTCACAAGCCTCAAATGAACTCGTGTCATATTATGAACTGGGAGTCTGGGATGCCGAGTCAAAATAACCGTGGGGTAGTAATTCATAGGTTGATGAGTACCCCTTTGCACAAATGCAGAACTTGGAGCTTTTCATATAGTTGACGTATGCGGCCTTAGCAATGGGGCCGAAGATTTTGATGGCGGGATCTTTGTTCTCCCAGTGTCGCAAGAGAATAGGGCGGAGGTAACCGTGCATGTTCCCAGCAAAGAAGGCGAGGTTTTGTCGCCGGGAAAGAGACTTGCCGCCGATTTCCCTGAGGGGGTTCTTTGGTGATTTCACATATGTTTCTGGGAGAGATGCATCTTTCCCAAACTGGAAACCTTCTTTGACATCTGCATTGCACAATGCTCTTATGCAATTCCCCATAAGCTGCTTTGTCTCCGAAGGGGCCTGTAAAAAAACAAAAATGTTAGAAACCCGCCAAGTAAGTTTGACACCAAGAGTTCGACACTAAGTGTACACGGACAGACAGTCTTCTATATATGTGTGTGCAACTCTTGGCGTCAAACTCTTGGTGTCAAACCTGTTGTGACCCTAACATGACCACTGTTGTGACCCTACTTTTTGACATGTCATTTCACCAAGAACTAAAAACTAAAGAGGTTGAAGACATACCCAGTCATGGCAGGCAACAAGAAAATGGTCAGCCCCGGCAGTTCGGTTCCAAAAACGGTGTCTTTGAATGATCATACTAAGGTAATCGGTCAAACAATTGACCAGCGGTTTACGGTCGTGAGAATCAGGGACATACAGAGTTTCCTCCAGCATCCGCGAACTGAAAGGCAAATAAAACAAGTGTGCCCTCTTTGCATTTTTCGTGACGAATTGTCTGTTTGATTTCAGCAACTTCATGAACCATCCCTCAGAAGCATATATTCCTTTGAGAATTGGTGTGTGGAATATCGGCCTTTTTCCTTCCGAGTATATGTAGACCTTCAAAGTCTGCTCCATCAGTTCATAACTCCTACACCCATATATTCAAAGAAATCTTTATTAAAAACTGTGTTCTTTAGCAATGTCATAAAATGACAATATAGACATTAAAAGGGTTCGTTCGTTCATACTTAGCCAATGTGGGATCACACCAACCACAAAAATGCATTTTTTTGGCACAATTTCTCAAGAAGACTATCAAGCTTTTGCTATAGAAGAATATCAAACTTATGGTTTACATAAGATGTGTGTTCGGTCCATTTCTTGAAGTTGAATGAAACTTATAAGCTCAATCAAGTAGGAACCATATTCAAAAAAAAAGAAGAATTGACACTTGCCTTTTGAACAAGGAAAAGTTTCTATACAAAGGAGCATATAAACCAGGTGCATCGCCTACTACTGGTGCATCCTCGATCAGAGCTTTTACACGTACAAGGTCTTGATCTGCTCGTGATGACCAACGTGGTTTCTAACCACAGTAAAAAAAATAGAATTAAAAAGTTAAAAAAAAAACTCGAAAGTATTTAAGAATAACAGGTGAACCAACCCAACCAAAAGCTCAGACTAGTGGTTGAAGTCCCAGGAATTCTTTCATGCTCTAACACAACCCTCGCGTGCAAGCAAGATTTGTTTTTTTTTACAAATAGCAAGGCACGTGAGATTAATTCTTTAAAACTAGGTGACAATGAGGTTCGAACTCATGACCTCAATCAAGAATGATTTTTTACTCTAACAACTTGCAGAAATTAAATCACTCCTCACTCATACCGCCGAATGAAATGAAGTGAGACTTTTCTGTAGCATGGTATTCATTTCAGCTATCGACACGGCAGCCCGATTTTCCTTCTTTCCAATCCTACCCTTTGCAGCTGGAATGGGAGAATGGTTGACTGTGGAAGTAGTGCGGCTCTCCGATGGCCCTTGATTTTCATTGTTCTTAACTGTGCTAAGAGAAGTATTTTCATGAACATCAGATGGAGGAGACACAACATAGGGAGTAGCCGGGGTAGTGTCTTTCGTCCCATTTCTCTCCATCCATGGACCATTATACCCTCCACTGTCGCTATCTTTCGATGATATATTTCCATACCTCATATCTGATCCCACCGTATCATTTGTTTCCAGATTCATTACTGTCGACGAATTGGTACTTAGTAAATCGAAGTCCTTGGATGGCAATTCACTCTCTGGGTCAACACCATCTGAAGAATCTTTAACATCTCCATCCTTTCCAGTTGAATTTCCCGCTTGGAAGCTTCCATGTGATGATGATGACGATGATAATGATTGACCCTTCGTGGGAGAGAACAAAGAGGGAAAATAACCATATGGGTGGATGAAAAGTTGAACCATTATAACCATACAGAAAACCAATGATGAAATCCATATTAGTTTTCTACTCTCCAAAAGACCCATCTTGGTGATGGATGGGCACTGCTATCCCTGGAAAACATTTCACTTTAAAGATCAGATTTTTTTCTCACTTTTCAAATCTACCTAGGTAAATTTCAAGAGCAAATTGTGATCCATGGTTAAAGGAATTAAATCATAGAGTATTTCAAAAGCTAATTAATTTACTGGATTTCTTGTTGTTGTAGATTTGAACCATTCTAACATGCCCAATATCTTACCATAAAGGTTATCAAGCCAAATTCTTACATAATTCACACCAAAAATCACCATGATAAAAATTAGCAACACTGATAAAACCCAAGAATCACACACAGTTGGGCAAGCAGAGTATAAATCAAGAAACCCAAATTCTCAGAATTAATACTTGTAAATAAATAAATGAATAAATAAATACATTAATGCGCCTAATCCAGTAAATAGGAACACAAAATGGAAAAAAGGGAAACTGACCCACCAACGAAATTCTTTCAAAGATACAATAATAATTTCTTGAAACAGATCAGGCATTAGTTTAAGCAGCGTTTGGGAAGCTGAATAATCTGAAAATGTGAGATTTTCCATTTTTACTCAAATTTTTTCAAGAATATTTTTTCTTCAAGTTTTTTTGAAACAGTGCCTTACCCATTAATAATCCAAATGCATGATAAGTGCATGTAGAAATTCAGATACCTGTGAGAGAAGATTTGAGGCGGCTATGGATGCAATTTTTTCTTACCAGAAAGAAAAAAAAATTAGGACAAAAAACAGTGAGAAAATGAGAAATGAGGGTGGGCGGTGGGTGGGAAAAGAGAGAATTAAATTTGTTATTTCATTGATGGGAGTAATATAATCAAAAAAATTGTTATTTCTTTTCTTGGGATATCCTCAAAAAAGATTTTTCATATTTGTTTTAGAAAATTATTTAAGACTTACAATGTTTTTGTATTATGTACTCGGTATTACTTTCAACAATAGAGTTTTAATTATTTTAAATTTTATGTCAAATCAAATGAAGAACCTTATTTTAGAAGAGAAAAATAATAAATTAATTTTTAGAGAATTTTTCATGGATAAATCAAGTGTAATTATTTTTTTAAGAAATTATCATAAATAATAGTAAAATATTGAGAAAAATACCAAAATAAGAGTTTTATGTTTCTATTTTCAAAATAAAAGTTCTTTAAATGGTAATTTGACACCGTATATAGATATTTCACACTACTTTTTTCTAATCTATATGATTATCATTGACATTGTATATGCATTTTAACTATATTTCGAAAATAAAAATATGAAACTTGTATATTTTTAATGTTTTACTTATACTTTAGCCTTTTTCTATATTTTTATATTAATACACAATATACGCAATATTTTTTATTTAATTGATAAACAATATTTGTGTAGACTTTGTGCTTCACAAGTTTAAAAATACGGAATACTTTGTATTTTTTGCGGATTAAATAAATCAGGGTTGGTGTAAAATTAATATTCCTTCCGTTTCATAAAATACTTTCGTCTTAATTTTTTGCGCATCCCTCAAAACAATTTTATCCAACTTAATATGTCCGAAATACACTCTCATTTCGTAGTTTATTATGGGTAGTAATTGTTTTAAAGGTATTTTAGATGATTTAAATGTGGTTTATGAGGTGCGCAAAAAATTAAGGTGAAATATTTTTTGAAAGGGAGGAGTAATAGGCCCAAAAATTGGGGATTATACCCGTCCATTACCAAGGCCCAATCACATCTAAATAGAGGCTGTCGCCTCTTCCCTCGCTCACTCGGAGCTTCAACATTTATCCTGTTGCAGCAAGGCGAATCCCGGACGCGAAGCCTCGTCGCCGGCGACAGAGCACCGGAAGCCGGAGAGCTCTAATTACAGAGTCTTAGTCATCTTCTCCATGGGCATGGAGATTGACAGAGCCGATGGCCGGACGGCGAACCAGATCAGACCGCTGTCGTGCTCCCGCGGCGTCCTCAACCGCGCCCATGGCTCCGCCAGCTGGTCACAAGGTTTATATTTCAAACTCCAAACCTTTCCCTGTCTTCTTTATTTGCTCAAAGATTGTTTTTT